TTGTTTGATTTAGAGGAAGTTGGGAAGGTTCTACAAAATGGTCTGCTTTGTATTTCCCGGGAAAACAAAGTGTCCACATCACAATTTGCCTGACCTATTTCTATTCTGTTAGGAAAAGTAGAACAAAATCTATTATGCTGAATTAAATTGATTTGATGTTTAGTTTACCTAACCAATCAATCCCCTTATCTGGGGTTAATCTATAACTAAACTTCTCCTGGGTGAATTGTTGCAGAGTTTCTAGGGAGTTATTGTTCAACTACCGCATTCTATTCAATGGATTAGTTTTTCCAAGGAGAATTGCAGCTTTCCATCTGCCAAAACTGTTACATTATACAGTACTTGCAGGAAAATCCATGTCATGGGACATATCACCTAAACAGACACCCAGTCTAGAGATGAAAATGGGTATAGGCCACAGAACAGTTTCTTTCATAGATTCCCCATTTCCACTTGTAGTCATTATTTGCTTCCAGTCCACAGCCTTATAATGTTTTTCTATTTCCTACTCTCACGTCCTTTCACACCCAAAGATATTTTTCTAGGCTCCATGCTCTACACCTCTTTCCACATTTCTTCCACTTCTTTCTGTTCCGTCCTTTATTTATTAGACACTGCCTGCTAGACAGCCTAATATGTCTGCAATGAAAAGTAATACGCTCTCCTTGGAATTTTGGGCACATCAGCCCGTCCAGGAGTCTTCATTCTCAGATGGCTGTTACTCAGAGCCTTTTCACGAGCCCACAAAACAGGCCTCCTGGCTGATGCTAATTAAAGGGTCAATAGAATATGTCAGTAAAACATTAGGTCCTTGGTGTATGCTGGCACAGAGCACACATCTTCATAGGGTTTAAAAAATAAAGAAATTACATTTTTCAATGATGTGTTGTGATGTATATACCCAGGAATGTAATATGTATGTATACCTGATGTATACCTGTTGATGACAAGTAATGCTTTCAGCTTCCACTGATATTTCCCTTGTCCTTAGGACTTGCTGCAGATGTAAACAGATTTCCAAAAATCTATTAAAAAAAATATAGCATGTACAAAAGAAATTAAGTGTTGGATCATAGATCAATTGTAACTAAATTTCTTCTGTTTTGTTTTCTTTTCTTTAAGCAACTTCATGTATTTACAAACTAAAGAAGCCTACATGTAAAATTAACTTTTATGTATTGCAAATGTATAAGTCATTTTAGCCCTTCCTTCTGGAATAAACAAACCTCACAGGAAAAACCTTTTCAAAGCTTCCCTCCAAGGAACATTTGTGTCTGAATTATGAGAGACCTAAAGGATGAACAAGTCAAATGTCTTCCAAATCCTGAGTAAATCAGCTTTGTGTTGGGGAGGAGTTGTTTTCCACCCCCACAAAGGAATTTTAAAGGTGTGAGTTACTCAATGTACTTGCATTTTTCAACAGAAATAACAGATGTTCTCAAGTTTCTCCAAGCTGTGACTCCAACTGTTGTGCTGAAAAAAGTCATGACCTAGCTCCCACAAACATATTAAAACTGATTTTTTTCACTTTAAATTTTATTAGCCAGTTGCTTTGCCTATTTATACCTTTAAACATGATGATTTCAACGACAAAGGGACTCATCACACACTAATTGAAACCAATGTCAGCACTCCAACTGAGTGCCAGAGTCCTTTACAAACACTGCCAGGCATACTCAATGAACTCATGTTTTACAGAAGTCCAATCTTTGCATAAATTCTAATGTTCTGTGGTATTGAGAGTACCAAAAAACAGGTATAGGAACTACAGAATTTAATCAAGGATCTGTCCCTTTCTAATTATACCTCAAAACTACAAGATTAGACCTGCCTTCTCCTTATTTTATAAAAGGTATTATTAGATTACATTATTTGAGTAAAGCACATATGAACCAGTGATGCAATCATGGTATAAATCTCATTAACTGCTAATTTAGGACTGGACTAAATCAAGTTCACAGTGGATAAAAGCCCTTTTAAAAATACACAGCTATCATTTCATGTACATTTTAGTCCACCATGTCCCCTACCTTTGAGCATGGCAAGACATAACACATGATGTGTAATTTCTGAGTTAGACCTATACCAACTGGTGACCTAGTGTATCTAAGGAAAACGGCAATAGCTGAGCCCCTTCCAAAACCTTTGCACCATGGGAACCCTCATGTGAGCTTCTCTCTACCCACCTCTCCACATTCACAAAACTTGCAGGATTCCAACTGGTTTTGATATTTAAAAACAATTTTCTTCTCAAACTAGACATAAAAAACTGGTAACAATGGATGAGAAAAAGACTGTCACTAAACAACTTTTTTTTGCCTCAGTCTTCAATGGCAACCTCTTTTCCTACACCCCTGGAGTGGATGGACAATGGGGGAGCAAAGTCCCTCTGATTGTAAAGATCAAGTTCCTTCTGAGGAGCCTGAATGTACATCAGTCTGTGGGACCCAATGAGGTACAACCCAGAGTCCCAAGTTGCCACAGCATTCTCCATGACATTTAAAAAGTCAAGGCAGTCAGGTGAAGTTCCAGGTGACTAGAAAAAGGGAAACAATACTGCCCATCTTTAGAAAGGGTAGAAAGAAGGACCATGGGAATGCCCACCTCTGTGTCTGGGAAGGTCATGGAAGAGATTGTCATAGAAGCTGTGCTAAAGGTACATGGAAGACAGGAAGGTGATTTGAGACACCTAGCATGGCCTGACCAAAGGGCAAGTCTCACCTGACCAGCCTAATGGCTTTCTCTGATAGGGTGACTATATCAGTGGACAAGGGAAGCTTTACAAATGTCATTTATCTGGAGTTTTGTAAAGCCTTTTACAGTGTCTCCCATAACAGAATTCCCTTTAAATTGGAGAGAGAGGGATTTGATGGGTGGATTAAGAATTATTTGGATGGCTGCAGGAGTCCTTCAGGAGTCCATACTAAGACCAATGCTATTTAATATCTTCATTAATTACATAAATGAAGGGATCAAGTGCACCCTCAGCAAATATGCAGATGACCCCAAGCTGAGTGGTGCTGTTGACACACCTGAAGGATGGGATGTCATTCAGAGGGACCTGGACAAGCTCCAGAAGCTTGGCCATGGAAATCTCATAAGGTTTACAAGACCAAGTGCAAGGTGCTGCACTTGGGTTGGGACAATCCGATATCAAAACAGGCTGGGGGACGAAGGAATCAAGAGCAGCCCTGCCAAGAAGAACCTGGGGACGTTGGTGGATAAGAAGCTAGATATGAGCTGGCAATGTACAATCATAACCCAGAAAGCCAAACATGTCCTGGGCTGCATCAAAAGCAGCATGGCCAGAAGAGCATGGGAGGTGATTCTGACCCTCTCCTCTGCTCTGGTGAGATGCCAAAACTCCACCTGGAATGCTGCATCCAGCCCTGGGGTCCCCAGCATAGGAAGGACATAAACCTGTTGGGAATGAGTCCTGAAGACAGATGCCAAGATGATTGGAGGAATGGAGCACATGTCCTATAAGGAAAGGCTGAGAGAATTGAGATTGTTCATCTTGGATAAAAGACTCTGTGGACACCTACTTGCAGTCTTCCAATACCTGAAGGGGGCTTACAAGAAAGCCAGAGACCTTTTATATGGACATGTAATGATAGGTGTCCTAGTTTAGGGCAAATTTGGGGAAAACCCTCTGAAAGGAGCCCCCAGGAAATAAACCTCCACGGCCCCTCCCCACCCACCTGGTTCAGGGAAAAAATTTCCTCTGAGAAAAGTGGAAAAGAACCTGTTTATTCAACGAACAAAACACTCCCCAGCACCAAAACAATTAACAACACCAGATGACAACAAAACTCTTTCACCCCTCTGAAGAGATGAACAAATCCAGAAAGTCTTTCCTGGGAGTGGTCACCCGGGTCTGGACGCTGGGGATTGCTCTCCAGCACTGGGGATGGCTGCTGCAGATCACAAAATGCAGGCTCCTGGTGTTCCTTGGTGTTTCCCAGATCCCAGTCCAGAGCAGGTTGGATGGTATTCAGGAAGAGGAAAGGAAAAAGCAACAGTCCAGGGAAAGAATTGGACTGCTTAGCTAACCTAACTAGGAAGCAAAGGCAAAAGCAGAAGCAAGCTAAGCAAGCAAAGTAAAGCCAGTCAGCCAGCCCTAGCCTTTTCTAGACAGCAGACCATGGGGGGAGGTGAAGCAGATGATAACATGGCAAAACAAACCTTCACTTTCAGAGTCAGTTCTGAAAGCACAGAACATAATATCAATCGTAAACAGAACACACGATTGGAGATACAAACACCATAACGTCACCCTAGGACAATAGGACAAGGGGGAATGGCTTTAAACTGAGAGTAGGTTTAGACTAGATATTAGGAAAAAAATCTTTACAGTGAGGGTGGCAAGACATTGGAACAGGTTGCCCTGAGCAATCGCAGATGCACCATTCCTGGAATTGCTGAAGGTTAAGTTGGATGAGGTTCGGAGCAACCTGGTCTAGTAGAAAGTGTCACTGCCCATAACAGGGGGGGGGTTGGAACTAAATGATATAAATATTTAAGGTCCCTTGCAACCCAAACCATTCTAGGATTCTAGAATTCTATGATAAATTGGTCCATATATTCAGAATTTGCTATGGACAGGTTGATAGACAAGTAGCATGAAACCAGGTAAAACAGTAATGTTGCACAAAATTGATGCAGCCCATTCTGCCTGACAGACAGAGCCTAGAAAGTAATTACGATGGTGAAATCATTAACTAGTACTGTGTTAACTCTGGGGAGCTCTGCAAACAAAGATTCTCTTTTAGTTTGTCAGAGACACAAGAGAATAGTATCTTTCTGTTCAGGATTTATGGGCTGAAATACTAAAAGAGTTTGTTATCCAAGTCAGACAAGCCTATAACAGTAAAGCCTTCACTTAAAAGCTCTGTTGATAACACTAGCCACTTGTTACAGACATATTCACAATCCAAAGAAACTTCCTTTAACACAATTCAGGTTGCACTTTGTTACTTTAGGAGATATCAGATTATTACAAGCCACTAAAAAGTGTATTTAATTTTGTCTCTCATAGAAAATAGTACCATTTTTAGTTTAATAAAAATAAATACACAATGCCTGTATTATTATAGTACTGTCTCAATCAAAATATACTTTTGAAGAAAATGTAATGTTTTGACTGCTGACAAATGAACAGATCTTACAAAAAGTAATTCTGTATTGATTCGTTTCCTACACTCACCAACCAAATATTCAGGGCCCCAGCTCTCTACACATTCATGACTAGAAAGACAATAATGTGTAACCTTTGAGACTTTTTCCAGTACGAAGGAGAGAGCCTTCCTCACTTGTAGTCAGAGATTTTGTCTGTGTGATTTGCTCATAGAATGTGTATGTCATTTGAATGACTTAAGTCAAAGACCTTTTCACCATGTACCTGGTAGAATCAACACTTAATACCCAGATGAATAATAGGGTTTGCAGCTTGGGAATCAAGTATTCCTGAACACTAGAGTCAGCTATCTATAGGTGATTACTGGGTGTATACTCCACCTTTTAAAATCATAAATACTCTGAAACTTCATGGCCCGTCATCTTCATTAGCCAGACTAGTAGACAAGTAAAAAGACATTTTATTATCAGTGCTATTTGTTCCTGAATGCTAGGGAAAAAAAAATTCTTTTGCCTTTCACTGCCTGCATGGAGAAATTACTAAGACATCTGCTGAGAATTGTACTGACATCAGAGATTAAACTTTGTATAACTTAGTATCAGTGAATGGCATCAGGGACTCATCAAGACCACAGAGGAACTGAAGCTCTCTTCTCATCTTGCATGTTCACACTACTGAGGGCTCACTCTTATTGGGGGCTTTAAGAGTAGTTTTCACCCTTTCACTATTCAGTCTACAGATTCTCTTGTGATTAGTCCAACAGCATGAAAATGATAGCTGGATATTTTTAAAGGTATATTTATCCACTGTGCACTGGATAGAGTAATGCCGTGCACTGGGCTCAGCAGTTCATGAGCTTTATTGCATGGTTGCATCACTGATTCGTTCAATTAGGAACCTGATAATACTTATTTTATAAAATACAGAAAATGTGACTACCTTAGAGTTTTGAAGTGTAACTAGAAAAGGACAGATCCTTGACAAACTGGTTTGGTTCCAGTGCCCATTGTTTGGTATTCTGAATACTTCAAGATGTTAGACATTATGCAAAGACAGGGCATTTTTAAACTACAGGCATTATAAGGCAATAAAGTAAAAACACAGAAAGGAGGCAGGCATATTGCAGGGAGCTGTGACATGGCAAACAACCATATAGAAAAATACTTCTTAAATTTTTTGGTTCCCATACATCTCTTCAATGCATGCTGCCACACAGAATAAAAAAAATGTCCTACATAAACTAGTGTATTATGTCAATAGAGTCATGTTTATCAAATTTACTTGTAATCTTGCCAAAGAACAATATGAAAGCTATTTGACAAGACTCATTTTTCCTGAATAAAACACACACTTTGCGGTCATGAATGAAAATGTGATCTTCTAGCTGCTAAATATTGAAAGCATGTAGATCTCATTTCTCTAGCTCAGTGATATCTTAAGTCTCTAAGAATCTTAAATTGCATACCCTGACTATTATTCTAATTAATAGAATTAATTAACCCTTTAAAGTGGTTTTTGAAAAGTATAATTTATAATATAATATCCTTTACTCTATATTATTTACTTTACTCTACCTACACATGAGATGACAAAATAACATAATTTCCAAAAGAAACAGAAACAAGGGGAAATGCCATTTTATATTACCTCTCCATAAAACAGAATTTTGCAGAACCACTCACAGCTCCATACTAACAGAAATGTGGCCAGATGTTTGTCCAGGCAGCACTGTGGGTGACTTTGACTATGATCCTGGTAAGGGACCTGTAAATCACATCACCATGCCCCCATGGCTCCATGCTGAGCATGGTTCTCACTGAGTGAATCAAACAGAATGACTACAGCCCCTCAGGGTGCATTCTGGTAATTCTACTAAGCCAGTAACAGTCATCTGTCAGAAAAGGCACCGTTCCAGTCCCCCTCTTTGTCTCTTAGTCCCTGCGGCAAATTTACGCCTGGAATCCACAGACTTAAGCAACTTTAGTATGGCAAATTAAACAGCTTATACTGAAACTACTCCCTGGAAGTACCTTGCAGACTTAGAAACAAGACAAATAATTTGGTTTACTGTATTTTTGTTGTTAATGCTACTCTTAAAATTACACCTAAACCCATCCTCACTGTAGCTTGCACTACAGACATGAAACCAACAAACTATTTTGCCTTTGAAGTGCCTTATAGAGAGAAGATGAGCAGGAAGAGGTTATAACTGATTCATATGAAAAAGCATCTCCAGCAAAAGAGTTATGTAGCCATGCTTGGGCTCTGACAAAGCTTGAGGCAGAGACTTGATGGTTGAAAAAGCAGAGAAAGAAGGGTTTAGGGGTATTACACAGATTTTGTGCTATGCATAATCAGTAGCATGGGTGAAAGCATGAAAGTGAATGTACAATACTGCCTTAAAATACTGGTATCGCTTGTATAATGGCAATGAGGGAAACTTCTTGGTGATGTAGATTAGACATGGCTTGAAAAGTAAAGAGAAGTCATCTGTATCGTATATATTTCATGCAGTGAAGAAATGGAGCCAATGGCATTATGCAAAAAAAGAGGAGTGGCAGGACCGGAGCAATGAGCTAAGAAAATGACTTTTGCAATTGGATAGAAAGACAATGAAAGTGTTGTTAAGTGCATATACGTTATGCATATAGCTCCTGGCAGCTGGTTTTCTTGTGGGGGTAGAGCGACCATGGCAGCTGAGAAGAGAAGGTAAGCCAAGCATACCTGAAAAAGATAAAAAGCATTAACAGGACAGACATCAACTGTTGAAAACAAAGCACAGCCCACAGATTAACAACTTGAACTGTTTTGGATGAGAAAAGAGACAGCACAAGTGCATCTAGCATTAAGTGGACTGTAATTAAATGTTAGAAATACTTGTAAGAAATTTATACAAATCGGAGTCTGCAGTCTGGAAAACAGCAGTTATGAAGACTATCTCAAAAACAGTACCAGTCCTGACACACTTAAGCACAACTGAATTCAAGGTAACTCAGACAGCTCTTGGTGTTTGCTTTCTTAAAACAGAGGTGAATCTCAATTGAGTTCAAAGGAATTACAATATATTTTCTGTCTTTCTCCCAGTGTCTCTACAGTTTCCCACTGGGACTAAAAAACTGTGAACAAGCAGAGATGAAGGGCAAGTCTTAAGAAAAGGCTTGTCTTCTGCCAGAACCCTTGAGCACTGATGTGGGATACAAAGAAGATGTGGATTTGGATTAGCAGGCTACCCATTGATTCTCCCAGCATACTGAATCCCCCTGGATTGTAAGGGCCCGGATATAGTATAAAGAGTAAAGGAGTTCCTGCTTTGTCCAAGAAAAGAACTTTTATTTTCTCATTCTGTCCAGGTGGTGTTCTGCCATGGAAAAGGGATTTGCTGTAAGCCTTTAAGTGTTGTACACTGACCAAATTTTTCTATTAAAAAGTTCCATGTGGACAAATCAGACTACAGCACACATTTATGAAGACTCAGGAGACTTACAGGAGTACTTTCATGCAGTGATAGCAACAAATACTACGACAGCTAGCAAAATTCAGCTGTGAGCTGCTAATTATTGTGTGCTCCAAACGTCTTTCACAGACTAAAACCCTCTGCAGTTGGAGCTCTGCAGTCTCCAAAAGGCTTATCTGGAGTTTAGCCTCTGGAGGCTGTGGGGAGAAAGGGAGTGATCCTTCCCTGACTAATTATGTAGCTTTATCTGCCCTCTCAGATAGAAGATGAAATGTCAGTTTTGAGAGCTTTTATATTTTGGGGGTTTTTTTCTTTTTCATATTAAAAAAAAATAGTTACTTGGTTTTGCACTTATTTAAAAAAAACACAACTATTTAACATATAGGGCTCTAAGAAATGATCCATGATTATTTTCCCAGGAGGAGGAAAAGTTGCCTGTGGGATAATGAAGTGATTGCATATAGCCTGATGGTGTGAGCCCAAGCTGCATTCAGCCTGGGAAGAAATAATACCACTCCAGGTTGCCTTATAGTGGGGAGAGGCGCCATCTTTCTAGCATGGACTGTAAGGAATCAAAGACAGGATTACCTTGTGATACTAGCTCACAGCACTAGTAAGATTAAATAGTCCTGTAAATCTTTAATATTGTACATATTATACCTTGTTAGGGTTTTCCTCCTTTCCTTTTCTAGGACTGGCATAAATTTGTGTTTCCCTCTGATCCTCAAGTTGTGAACACAGCCAGCAGGTCTTGCAATTAGACAGCTCTTCATGGCACTCCGTCTGGGTTGTCTGGCAGGCTTTCACATGACACTGTCTTCTCAGCATAGTAATGTTCATCTGGTTTTGGTGGAACACAGTTCCTTGTAATAGCTTTGTTTTCTACCTGCTAAATGCATTTACTGACCAACATTTCTCTAAATAATAGCATAGCTCTACATTGGCCTTCACTTCTTGCCAACAGATTCCCTTTCACTGAGTTATAGTATTGTCACATTGTTTTAATTCTCTCTACACTGTTTTCAAATGTAATTTTTTTTTCCTTAGGAAAGGGGACTTTGCTTCTACCATCTTGTTTAGGTTAATTCTCATAATTTTTAAGCCACAGCTCTGCATTTAAATATGAGGACAAGAGAAAAAAAAAGGTACCCTTATACAGACTCGTCAGGAGTTTTTATCTTAGACATATTTTATTGTTTTACTGTATTCAGCAAATAGAAAACCACAAGCTGGGGTATCAGCAGTCAAGTCTGTAGCTTATAAATGGAATTAATAACATCATAGCCATAAATTTAATATTTTGCTTGTGTTGTTGCCAGTTCCCTGATCTCTGTGCACTCACTGTAGAAACAAACCTCTGGTGCTGGCCCAGAATAAGAATGTGTTTGGGTTTTGCCCCACTGTTAGGTTTTGAGTTCCTGTCTTTGGTAATTAATTATAAACCATTGCCCCCAGGCCTTCCTCTCTATTTCTGTTTTTAAAAGAGCAGCTCCTGATTTTGTGTATAGGATGATTATTATTTCTTCCCAGGTGTATTACCTTACATTTATCTATATTAAATCTCATTTATCTTTCCTCTGTCCATCTCTCAAAAGTTTTCCCTAACTTTATTCTCCAGTGAGGAGAGATGCTTTCTCAGAGCTGCTTTGTTTATGCAATGCATTGCTAGAAGTGCATAATAGGTAAAATAATTGTGTATCACTTCTAGACTTTTCATTTCCTCTTTTCTGCATTCTAGTTCTGCTCCCTCTGATGTAGTCATTGACTTCAATTCAATCAAGAACAAGCATTTAAAGAGCTGGCCCATTGTTTCGATAATGGCAGTAGTCCAGTTACTGAAATTTCTTAATCCTTTGTTTGGATTAAATTTCTTGTTCTCTTCTGAGACAAGCATGGGGAATGAGAGAAGAGATTAAACTATATTACACTGCATCCCAAGCCTACAAAAAGGAGTTCATAAAAGTGATTTGTAAATAATCTCAGTGTCTGCTGGTTTTCTGCACCTGAAGGAAGTTGTGTAATTTCATGCCAGCACTTTCATCTTGGCATGTTTGGATTCATTTGTGTCTCTGCCATATCCAAGTTTGACTTTTAGCTGACAGATACTTGGTTCTGGGCTAGCTTTTGGCAGAGCAGCCCCAGTACTGTACATCACCACTGATTTGTACCCTGACATCTCTCAAGTCTTCTATAATTCTCTCTACATATCAGCAAAATTAAGATGAATTAGCTGAGAGCAAGCCTTTGGGTTTTAGATAGCCTTTGACAAAATCTTGCCCAGGAAGTAGATTTGCCTCGTCCCAGCCAGAAGTCTAACTGAATCTGAGCAAGGTCTTCATACAGATGAGAAAGTGAATCTTTTCTACCAGTGTCACTTGAAATGTTCTTGAAATGCTCTGTAGATGACAAGAGTTGCTGCAGTAGTTTCTCAGGGGTTTGGGAGTTCATGCTCCCTTCCTGGCTTTGGCACTAATGATCATGCAGTCCCGCAGGGAGCCGGCTCAGCAATGGAGCTAATTAATTACTGTAGACAGGAGCTCAAAATCTAACATTGTTGAAAAATCAACTGCCTGTGCTGTTTTGTCTGCAGCTGGTCTCTAATGGCTGCATTTGGGGAAAATCTTTAGCACAACTAAGAGGAAAAAATGCTCTTTTTCTTTCTCTCTCACTCTGCTGTTAAACTAATACAGCAGTGAAGCATGGAATAGTACCAAATGCAACAAATTAGAAAGTGGCTAACTAATGTCAAACTAAGAAAAATGAGTTCTTAACAGTTTTAACACTAGGGTACTCTTAGCAAAAGTACAGCTAAAAATTTAAGACTGAAAGAGACCATCTCAGTCACTGCGTCAGTCCCTGCAAACCCAAGCTGTCATTCAATAATCACTGAGTCTAGAATGATCCATAGAATATTGACCTTGCATGTTTACATACAAGACAGGTCTCTTTCATCATTTTACAATAATCTTAAGACTTACTGTGAACACAAAAAGTCACATCAATAATATGCTTCAGGAAACGAACAAATGAAATCATGGACATTGTCCATGTCTAAGGACACAGATTCCCAATCCAGCCTTTTTCCCTTCCCCTTCTCACCACATTTACCAGCACACTAGCATCAGGCCACATCACAAGTTTAAAATGCACTGTATAAAAGAGTGATTCATTATCAGACACATCATCTCCCTGAAATCAGTGGAGAACAAGCAGGATTTTTTGGGGTTTAGTTCAAGCTTAGTTCTGGGCTGCCAAACTCCCTCGGCCAGACTCCTGCTCAGCTGCAAAAATACCAGATATTTGACCATGATAGCTCTGACTTAGATAAGGATAAACTGCTATGGAACAGTACTTCAAGATGAAATTTCTCATTGCAGCAAAGCCAACTAAATGGTTAGCTGCCACTGAAAAGAGCAACTCTATACAAGTCTGTCCCAACTGGCACTGCTATTCAATAAACTGTTCAGTAATTACTTACTTTTTATGGTGAGGTTTGTTTTCTTCTAGTTCAGCTTGCCATGGCCACCAGAAAAATGGAAATGCATGGCCAAGGAGGAGAGGAATGATCTCACTTTTTTTTTGTACTGATAAACTACAAGCATTGTGGTTACGTTAGAAAGCTGTGCTGCATAAGCAGTTCCCCTTGAATGCTCCTATCTGCTCTTTTACCATTTGTGTGACAGCATCCAGAGTCATATAGCCTATGTTAGACAGGATCAATGTCTAATTAAACCCAAGAAAACTGGAGAAGTAAAAGGTTTCTCCTTCCTGATGGCAGTGTTCCCTGATTGAGCTCATGTTAGAGCTGAAAAAGATTTGCCTGTCTGATAGTGCAGTAAGAAAAAAGATGTGATAGATAAGGAACTGGAGGAGCTGTGGAAAAAAATTTCACATTTTCCAGAGAAGTCCATTCCTAAGTGAATGTTGGCAACAGCGTGCATCAAGCACAGAGCTGGACTAGATGATTTGCACATATCCTTCCCAAATATTTCCATGATTTTATAATTCTCTACCACAGGAATTAAAGTCATACACCTGTACTCAGAGCAGATTTTGTATATGTGCCAAATTAGATAAATAAGTGCATTTTAAACTTGCACAAGCTATTAATGACAATGTTTTTCTTACCAGCTTTGTATGCATCCAGACATAAGCCAGCCAGCTCTATTAAATTTCAGCTTTTCTTGGGTAAAACTCCTAACTGGGTGCTATTTCCACTCCCCTGCTGCCCAGAAAACTAGTCACTCAGAGCTTTCACAGAAGTCTATCATTATGTTCTCTGATTGCTTCTTCACCCTTATTCCTCTTTTATATCTTCTACTCTGTGCACAGCAACAGAATAGTTCTCTTTCTAATGTACAACCTCTCCTACAGGAAGAAAAAAATGAACTCTTCACAATGTAGCCTTTCCCTCTTTATTTAGCGAAGGGGAATTACAATTTCTATGTATTAGTGGGATTTATAGCTCATCTAAGTAGAGAAAAGGAATGCTGTATGCAGAAGGTCTGACAGACATTGCTCCTTTAATCCAGGGCATGCATTAGGTAGTGCAAACACACATGGAGAATGCAAGTGTCAGACCTCCACAGTTCTACCTTCTTACCTTATCTACCAATCTATTGACACATGCAACGTATTAGCAAATGTCAGCTGTAATACATAATAACTGATTTTCCTCTGTATGAAAAAAGGGAGTAACTATTAGGATATGACCTTGCTCTACACATAGCATCAGAAAAAGCAATGCCCATGATTCAAGAAAGATATATAAGCACTAGAAAAAAAAATTCAGGGGCAGAAAAAACAATCCAGAGGTTGAAAAATAACACCTAAGGTATAAGGCTTAAGACCTCTATTAAATCTGTCAGAGAAGAGTGGTGACTGAATCACTGCACCCAGATATACACATATGGAAAAGGTACCTGATTGCAGGGTGAGCTTTTCAGTCTTGCAGACAGAAACATAAAAAGATATAATGAATGGAAACTGGAGTCAGACAAATTCAGGATGGAAATTACATAATTTCTTAGCAGTGGGGGTAACTAGAGATTGGAACAACTTACCTGAGGAGGTGGTAAGTCATCATTGCTTGGAGTCTTTCAGGCAAAATGACGTATTTTCCCAAGAGACATATTCCAGTCCAACCTCCAGGAAATCTCCTGAAAGAGATTAGGCAAAATGATCACTTGTTTACAGCCTACCAGACAGGAAGCTTTTTCATACAAGTCTATAAATGTACCCCAACAAAGTGCCTGCTATGCTGTTTGAGCTGGGGAACTGAGGCTGGGTCTACAGTATCAAATTCATAATGTTCTTTCTGAAAGAAATAGTGCCCTTGTATCCCAGGCACAAATTTGATTTAAATATTTATCATCTGGTAGCAGCAGATGGATTTTAAAAATAAATAAATAATTTTTTAAAAGAACAGAAATCAAACATATACTGCTTATAAATATTTACGTAGTTTTCATGGATAATGTTGGCTTTTGTGTTTCTCTCTTTAAAAGCATTTTGCCAAGTACCATGACTTTAAAAGTCAGAGATATCTAGCTGTGCATGCATATATTTTCCTGGCAGGCACAGTGAAAAAAAAAAAAACTAATTGAAGATAACATCAAAAAGAATTTAAAAAAACTTAAATACCCAACTTTTGATTACTTACTTTGTGTGTGCCTTTTTCTAAGCAATATTATTTTCTAAAATCTATGTTCCTGTTATGAAGTGTTCACTATCACTGCCGTATCTCAAAAAAAATTGGTTGATGACATTATAAAATTTATAACAATTGCTCAAATCTTCAGATAAATGGATCCCACTCTGTGACATTAAACAATCTACAAAATGCCAGGAGCAACTAAACCAATATCAAAAAGCTATGAATTCTCATAATTTTCATGATTTCACAGGTGTCGTATCTTAATCCATTGTGTCCAAGTATATTATGCAACATAGTTGCTTGCTGACTTGCCATGGGTCAATTATCATAGATTACAGCACTGTTTGGGTTGGAAGGGACCTTGAAGATCAGCCAGTTCCAGCCCACATGCCACACACAGAGACACCTTTCACTAGACCAGATTTCTCAGAGCCTCATCCAACCTGATCTTGAACACTTCCAAGGTTGGGGCATCCACAACTGCTCAAAGCAACCTGTTCCAATGCCTTATCACCCTCTAAGGAACTTTTTCCTAATATCCAATCTAAACCTAACCCCTTTCAGTTCAAAGCTGTTCCCCCTTGTCCTATCACTACATGCCCCAAAAGTCTCTCTCCAGCTCTCTTACAGCCACCCTCTATATGGTAAAGGCCACAATCAGGTCTCCTCAGAGCCTTCTCTCCTCCAGGCTGAACAACCCCAACTCCCTCAGTCTTTCCTCATAGGAGAGGTGCTCCAGCCTCCTGATCGTCCCGCTCTCCTCTGGACTCACTCCAATTGGTCCATGTCCTTCCTATGTAGGGGACCCCAGGGCTGGATGCAGCACTCCAAATGGTGTCTCATGAGAGCAGAGTAGAGGGGCAGAATCCCCTTCCTCGCTCTGCCAGTCATGCTGCTTTTGATGCAGCCCAGGACATGTTTGGCTTTCTGGGCTGCAAGCGCACATTTTTCAGCTCGTGTCAATCTTCTCATCCACCCATACCCCCAAGTCCTTCTCCTCAGGACTGCTCCCAATCCATTCCCTGCCCAGCCTGTATGTGTGCCTGGGATTGCCCACACACACACAGCCTTGCGCTTGGCTTTGTTGAACTTCATGAAGTTTGCACAGTCCCACGTCTTGAGCCTGTCCAGGTCCCCCTAGTGCATCCCTTCCCTGCAGTGTGTCAACTGCACCAGAGTTTGGTGTTGTCAGCTAACTTGCCAAGGGTGCCCTCAACATCCCTCTCTATGTCACCTTGCAAAGGTGTTAAACAGTGCCTGTCCCCATACCAACCTCTGAGGAGCACCACTTGTCACTCCTCCATTTGGGCATTGACCACAACTCTTTTGAGTGTGACTATCCAGCCATACCCTTATCTGCCAACTGGTCCATCCATCAAATCTGTATCCCTCCAGTTTACAAACAGGGCTACTGTACAGGACAGCGTCAAATGCTTTGCACAAGACCAGGTAGATAATGTCAGTTGCTCTTCCCTTATCCACCAATGCAATTATCCCACTGTAGAAGGTCAACAAATTTGTCAGATTTGCCTTAGTGAAGTCATGCCAGCTGTCACCAATCACTTGCTTATTCTCCATGTGCCACAGAATAGTTTCCAGTTGGATCTGCTCTGTGATCTTGCAAGATACCAAGATGAGACTGACTGGCCTCTACACCTTCCTTTCCCCCATTTTTAAAAATGAGGACTACATTTCCTCTTTTCCACTCAGAGGAAATTTCACCAAACTGTCACAGCTTCTCAAATACAATGGATAGTGGCATAGCCATTTCCTCTGCCACTTCCCTCAGGACCCGTGGATGTATCTCATCTGGTCCCATGAACTAGGGCACCTTCAGGTTCTCAAAACCTGATCTAGAGCAGAACCCAATCTTCTTTCCTCTCCCAGTCCCTGACTTTGCCCACTGTAACTTGGGCACTGTGGCTGGAGCACCTGTCAGTGAAGACTGAGGAAAAAAGTTGTTGCATACCTCAGCTTTCTCCATTGTGGCAGCAGCTCTCTGGCCACAGAAATCAGGCACAGACCTTCCCAGGCATTTTCCCAGGGAAGGCTGTGAGAAGAGCAGGGAAAAGAATGAGACACGATTCTTATCTCCACTTGTTGTACCTGCTGTTGTGCACATGTGGAATGTGTCATGTAGGTTTGTTTCCCAAAGGGTGATTTCTTAATTGGACACTGGATGGTGTTTGGGTTGATTGACTGATTAGGTCAAAGCTGTATCAGACTGGCTGTAAGGGTTACTGAGTTTCTTAATAAGTGTAGTATAAAATAGTATAGGATGATTATAATAAAGCAATTGATCAGCCTTCTGCAATCATGGAGTCAATGCTAATTATTCCCCATCTGGGGGCCTGTGGTGACACTCCATATACTGAATAACCATGTCCTATTTCCTTACATATAGGGTCCACATTTTCACTAGTCTTTCCTCATAGCACATAGCTTTCCTCATAGCTACTCATAGCTCATAACATTCTAATCAAACCTCTGTCTCATCTGTCTGTCAAATGGAAATGAAACAACAGAGAGAAGTTGCCAGAATGACTACTTGAGATCCTTTAAAACATACCAAAAAAGGAGAAAGATCTTGTAATACCCTTTATCCCATAGGTCATTCTGAACATTGCCTCTTGAACAATGCTTCTTCACCTTACCTTATTCTTACAAATAAGCACTAACCTTCCTACAAACATCAACTTGAATATTCAAATTTTGAAAGGATGCTATATTTATAGATATATTAAACAGTTATTTAAAGACAGTGATCCTGCAATCAGTGCTTTGGGGATATATTTGCCATCCAGTTATATAGACACAAAATTTATGTTCTCGTCATGATTGTATCTCCAACCTGAAACATAGCTGTGTCTCACTGAAGGGGGAAGGCAGGTCTCCTGATAAATGTACTGGAGGAGAATGTGCTTTGCTCTTTGTCATACTGCTGTCTGCCTCCATGACCTTGCAGCAGATATTCACAATTTCTATAAACTTCTGGTGACTGAAAAAATTACCATCCCCTTCTTTCCTGCTCCTCTCAGTACTTACGGCCTTACTTAGGAAGTAAAACAGAATGGTTTTAAGAAGCAGCTATGTTGGATGCCCGTTATTTCACAGCAACAACTCAGAGCCTGAAAAACACACTTAGAAGTGCATCTTCTGTTTTTACCAAGAGGGAGGTAAACCCTGGAACAAAACCACATCTGACACCTGTATGTGGCAAATGCATCTGTTACTGAAGCGAAACCTTACAGGGATAATTAACAAGAGGCCACGAGCAAACAATTTCTCTCTCTGGATGCACGCGTATGGCCTCATGCAGCAGTTTGTGTGGAATCCTCCAGCCAGGTATGAGCCAGACTCACAGGCACTGTGTATTTGCATGACCATAATGTTGTATCTGACCTAATTAGCACCATGTCTAACCTAATTAGCACCACATACCACAGGGTTAAGTACTTTTGGTGCAACAGCACTCATAGACAAGTCTACAGCTGCTGTCTCCTATTTCACATGTGACTCTATGAATATATGCTAAGTTCTGTGCTCTGTTGCATGGTGCAGAGGTGCCTCCTGTCATGTTTGTGTTGCTTGTTTGTTTTTTTTTTTTTAATAGCAAATACAGATATTTTTATTTTCTTGCTTCCAAGGCAATATGCTGCTTTGCTCATTGCTGTTATTCTATACCATTTCTATTTAACTGAATGAGAAAAAGCATACTTAGCATACCAAGATACTAGGATGAAATATGTTTAGGATATGCTTCTACATGTGTCTAAAAAGAACCCAAACAGTAAAAACAGCAAGGTGAAAAGAAATCCCTAAATCTCTATGCTCAGCTGCCCATGTAAGTGCTGATTCTCTGCTATCATATCTCTGGGGCACTAATTTACAATTCTGTAAGATGTTACTGTAAACTGCTTAGTAGCAATGCTATGTCCATTTGCACAAGCATGAATGATGATCCAAGGTGTGAAAGCAACAGAAAATAATCCTCTGATGTTTATATATGACCTTAGGGAAGTACATCTCCTCCAGGGCATAGCATTGGGAATTTTTTCTCTAAAAAAAAATTCTATTTAATCCCTTTTAGCTTCTCAAATAAACTGATAGACTATGCCTGTTTCAAGTTAACACATGGACACATCAAGTGTAGTAATGAAATCCAAAATTCCTACAAGCAACTAAACTGGGCATTATCTGCTGGCAGTTTACAGTATGTGTCATGGTAAGAGAAAACCTAGAAAGATTTTGAAAGATACAGCAATTGCTCCAGAGAGTGTATTCCATATGTTGAGGGTGACCAAAAGGACATCAGTAACACAGCTATGAGAAAAGCAGATGGAGCAGATATGGAGACTGAGAGAGAAGAAGACAGGCAATGACAGGAAAAGACAAAATTACAAAGTTGTGAAGTGCTGTGGTGTAATTGAGGCCCAAGTTGAGCTGACAGAGCACCCAGCTGCTGCTGAGTGAGTGGCCTCCATGGGCTCTTGAAACAATAGC